CCGCCGGCCTCGAGCACGAAGCTGTAGACCGCGTCGCACGGCCGCTCGAGCGCGGTGCCCAGCTCGCACGGGAAGCGCCACTCGCCGCCAATGCACACCGGGTGGTACGGGGTAACCAGCAGCCCGCTACCGTCGAGCCGCACCAGCTGCGCACGGCCCGAGCGGCAATGCGTCTTGACCACGCACACCACGTGGGCCGACCCGTTGTCGCCGGCGCCGGTGGCGACGAGATCGCCCTTCGCCACGCTGGCCACGGGCTTGGTTGAGCCATCGGCCAGGAGGGCCGCGCAGTCGCCGTGGAAGCACGGGTTGGACGAGTTGTGGTAGGCCTGCATGCTGGCCGGCGGCCGGTAGGTCGGGTCGTGCGTCGTGGCGCGCACCGAGGGCTTGGGCGGCGGCAGCCGCACGAAGATGTCGTCGATCTCGTCGCGCAGGCGCTGGAACAGCCGGCCGCCATAGTGCTGCAGGCCCGGGTCCTTGAAGTTGGTGCACTGCTGCAGCATATGGGCGCGGGCCAGGGCCGGCAGGTAGTGACGGCCCCACTTCTTGTACCAGTCCTCGCGCGACAGGGCCTCGGAGACCTGGCCTGTCAGGTCCTCGCTGAGCCCGGCCACGCGCTGGTCCCTCGATGAGAGGGCGTCGACTTCGCGTGCGAGGCGCTTGACGCCGTCGAGCGCGTGGGCGGGGTCGGTCTTCATGGTGTGCATGGCGTGGCCCAGGCAGTCGACCAGGGCCAACCGCAGGCGCTGCACCTCAACCTCGACGCCGTCGCCATCGCGCCGCACGCCTTCGGCCCGGCACTCGACGGTCGACTGGGCGCCGCTGGGCTCGTACTTGAGCGTGGCCGACAGGTAGGGCTCTGCCGCGGCCGAGGCGTCGGCTGGTAGGGCCATGCGCACCACGACGTCGCGCGACTGGCCGTACTGGAGCGAGCCCAGATTGACCTGCGCGCCCCACGATGTCTTGTCGACCTGCTGGCCTTGACCAGCCGCGCCATCTTCGTTGTAGAGGAGCCGGGCACCGTTGAGGGGCTCGAGGGAGAGGCGGACGTTGCCGGCCATGGTGGCGAGCTGGTTGCTGAGGGTGTTGACGAAGGCCGTACCGACGAACGAGCTGTCGGGAATGAACGAGTAGAGGCCGCCCCCGCCCCCCTCGACGGCCAGGCCGCGTAGCAGGTCGGTATTGATGTCGTAGCCGAAGCCAAACGTGGAGGTGGTGCAGGCGAGGTCGGGGTGCTGGTCTCTGTAGCGCTTGAGGGTGGCCAGCTCGCCTCGAGGGGGGCTCACGTTGGGCAGGCCGTCGGTGAGTAGCAGCACGGCGGCCAGGCGGCCCTTGACGGCCTGCTTGCCCAGCATCTCGAGGCCCGTGTAGAGGCCGTCCCAAAGATTCGTCGTATCGTCGGGCACGAGAGCGTCTACGCGGGCCTTGGCTCGGGCCTTGGCCTCGGGGGTCATGTGGGTGAGCTCGAAGACGGTGGTGGCCGTGGTCGAGTAGACAACCACCCCGAGGCGGTCCTGCTCGGTGAGCGAGGCGATGACGGTGTTGGCCGCGTGCTTGACCACGTCGAGTAGCGACAGGCCGTGCTTCTCCTCGCGACCGCTGGCGTTCTTCATCTTGGCTTCAGTGCCCATCGAGCCCGAGATGTCGATTACGCAGCAGATGTCCGAGGGCGTGCGCGTAGTGCCTTCGGGAGGTCGAACCGAAACCAGCACGTCATGAACCACTCCCTCTCTCTCCTCCTTCTCCACCTTGCGAGCCTCAATGCTCAGCACCACCTCTCCCTCATCTGTAACCTTCATCTTCTCCCCATCTTTCTTGGCCTGGGCCACCACTACGACGTCATCGAGGGGTGGCATGCCGAGCTCGCGGCGGCGCTCGTCGATGGCGTTCCTGAGGGCGCGGTTGGGCGCGAGGTCGGCCAGCGCCAGAGGCGCGCGGGTGATGGGCGACGTGTCGTGCTGCTGGAGCCAGGCCGTGATGGCGGCGCGCTCGTAGGAGTTGCCCTCGGGGTCGACCACCGGGTCGGTCATCACCTCGTGGGTGAGCGGGCATATGAAGCTCGCCGAGAAGAGAACATCCTTGTCCTCGGCGCCCTGTGCAGTTGGTGCTGCATTGCCCATTACGTTTGGTTGTTGTTGCATCGCGTCTTTGCTGATCAGACAAGCAGCTGCGCTCTTGTGTCGATGTGGCGGCTTTTTCAGGGATTGACGCCCTTCCACGAACGACAAGAAAGTCGGCATAAAATCGTGTTTTTTTATTTTTTATTATTTTAAATAATAATAATAATAATAAAATTTTAATCTCACCAGCACCCGACGTCCATTTCGCACAGGACTCCGATCTCACGGGTCAGCTGGCTCTCGTGTTGCTCCGCTGTTCTGTTGGTGTCCTCATCACCATCGTCGTCGTCCCCGCTGGCTTCCTCTTCGTCCCACTTCTGGCGCAGGGCGGACTGCACGGGGAAGGTGCCCTCCTCCGCGTCCCACGTCGCCATCTGCGCCGCCTCGTCTAGGAACGCCAGCACGGCCCGCGCGAACGGAGTGGTCTCCATGGCCGGGTCGGGATTGTGGGCGCGGAACCACCTGGGCCTCGGTGGCCCACCGGTGCCGTCGGCGTCGGCGTCGGCGGCTTGCGGCGCATCGCTCGTGGTGGGCCGGAGGGCGAGGCCGAGCAGGCGGCCGACGAGCTCGATGGCCTCCGTGGCTATGACCTTCTCGTGGCGGCCCATGTCCGAGATGGCGCGATCGAGCTTCAGCACGACCGTGTCCTCCTTCTCCTCCTCATCTTCTTCTTCTGTCACCTCCTGCCCCTCCTCCTCGTCCATGGCGTCGTCGGGCTGCTTTGGAGTGCCACGGCCCCCGAGGCCCGAGGCCGAGTTGGCCGCCGCCACTGCCTTGGCGGCGAAGGCGGCGCTCAGCCGCGCGTGGTGGCCCACAACGCGCGCCGTAACCATCGACTGCTCGTGCGCGCCGGTGTAGCCGTTGGCCGACTTGGTCGACACCCGGACCACCACCCCCAGCGGCAGCGGCCCAGCGCGGTGGTGGTCATCATCGCCGCCATCGTCCTCGCTGGCGAGTTCAACGCGGCGTAGCGCGTCGGCCGAGACCGGAAAGGCGAGCTCGACTGTGCGATCGGAGAAGTCGGAGTACTCACCCGGCGCGAGGTCCAACGTGCGGGCGTAGACCACCCGCAGCTGCTTCGCCACCTTAAATACGTGTGAACAAGTGTAAGGAGGCGGCTGACGTCATAGAGAATTTGGGGGAGTACGGACCTCATAGCCGTCGATCTGGGCGAGAGCAAACTCGGGGCATTCGGAGGACGAAGGCCAGGGGGCGCCGCCTTGGAGGCGCTGCCGGATGTAGGACTCGGTGCGCGCGAGCCTCTGCTGGCCGATGAACCGTCGCACACGCCTCACCACCTGCTCTCGCGTCTTGGCCTGGACGATGATGACGTCACCCAACCGTGAGTCGCACGACATACGGCACGACACTCACCACCACAACACCACCAAGGCACGTACCTCGGTGGAGGCGGACTGTTGGCGGGCGTCGAGGAAGGCGTTGAGTTGCGTGACATAGGGCGCCAGATCCTGCAGCAGCTCCTTGTACTTGATCCGGCTTGTCTTGAGCAGCACAGTGTTCTGGACCTCGATCATGCGCCGCCGGCCACCATGGCCACGGCCCCGGCCCCGACCGATACCAGCGACATACCTGTTGACGGTGTCGACGTCGTCGTCGCCGCAGTCGTCCCACAGCAGATCGACGTCGTCGTGCCACACGAAGCCCAAGCAGGCCAGAAGCGTGGTCAGCACCTCCTTCCCCTTCCACGATTGGCTCTGGTCGCTGCCGGCGTCATCGCCGCCGCCGTCATCGCTGGCGGGTAGTCCCACGCACCGCCACAACTTGCGCAGGAGGGTGAAGTCGGCGGTGGTCTGGTCCATGATTTCGCCACGCGAGCGGTAGTAGTCGAAGACCGCCACGTGCAGCGGAGCAGATGCCTCATCATCTTCGCCCCCTTCTTCCTTCCCTTCTTCCTTCCCTTCTTTCTCTACTTCTTCTTTCTCTTCTTCTTCTTCTTCTTCTTGCTTTCCTTCTCTTCGTTTTGTTGGTCTTGGCCCGAAGATTTGAGGAGCTGCTTCCAGCTGGTCGAGGAGGTGCGCAGATCGACGAACACCTGCAGGTCCCAGCCCTCGTCCCGGTGGTCCCATGCCTGCAGCACCCACAGACCCACCTCCGCCCGCTCTGAATCCCCCCCCCCAACAAAACGTGAAAGCGAAAGCGAAAGCGAAAGCGAGAAGGGATCGTCAGATAATGAATGGGGCGGCGCGCGCTGGGGGGAGGCGAGCGTGGGGGGAGGGAGTCATCAATTCACCGTGGGGCTGGTCGGGCAGGCCGAGGGACAGGCAGGCGCGGATGCCCAGCCCGTAGGACCGGCCCAGGTAGTCGTCCTCGCGCCGCAGGTACTCCACCTTGAGCAGCGGCGCCGCCGCCCTGACGGTGGCGCAGGGCGCAAGGAGCTGGCGGCGGAGGGCCTCGAGCTTGGCGGGCGCGAACTCCCACGTGCGCCACACGTACTCCAGCACCTCGTCCAGCCTGGATATCTCACACGCACCACCACCGCACGCGCACCACCAGGATTGTGACGTCAACCGTGTGTCGGCCAAGGCCCAACGCTGGGGGGGGGGCACACACGTACTGCGACTGGTGGAGGCGAGCCTGGGCCACGCCCAGGGTCAGGTCGGCCATCTTCCGGAACTGCTCCTTGGTGCGCGCGGCCTCGGCCGAGTCGGACAACAGTGGCAGCGGCGGCGCCTCGTCTGATCCGGCCAGCACTGAGGCCGCAGCGGCGGTGGCGGGTGGGAAGAAGTGGTTGGCGAGGAACTGATCGAGTGGTGCGTAGAGGGCGGAGCCTTGCGCGCCAGCGCCGAGGGCGTGGTCGACGGCGTCCTTGATGGCGTGGCAGGTGAGTCGCAGCGCCGCCACGCTGCTGATCGAATCCTGGTGCTGGGCCTGCCTCGGCGGGGGATGACTGCATTGCGCGGCGTTCGTCAGGCACGACACACGACACACGTCACGCGACACACGACACGCAAGGGAGTTGCGTACTAGGGCCGCAGGGAGCGCAGCCGCTTTTCCTGGGCCTCCATCTTCCGCTCGAAGCCCTCCTCTTCGCCCGGGGGCAGGTCGACGCCCCACTCGAGCTCACCTACGAACCGCCCGCTTTCGGCGCGCACGCGGCATAGCTCCGGCACCCCAGGCAAGACAACTTTCGACCAGCCCTCTGCTGCAATAGTTTAATACAGCAACTAAATATATAAATAAATATATAAATAATTAAATTCAATCAAGAAAGGGGTGGTACCGGCATTGGCGGCGGTGGGGGAGGAGAGGAAGTCGAGGAGCCGGCGGAAGGCGACGTAGGGCAGGTCGCGCAGTAGGTTCCACCCGATTAATCCTCCGTCCTCGTCGTCGCCGTCCACCAACCCACCACAACGCGGCTTCTTGTTGTTCGGCGACGCTGTTGTTGTATGGTCGTGGTGGGCCGACGCCGTCTCTCCTTCTTGTCCTGCTGCCTCGACGTTTTGTTCCCTGGCTCGCTTCATGTCTTAGGTTTTTAGCGCACTAGTGCAGGCCGGTGTCGCGGCTTTCCTTTTTTTATTTCGGCCAAATATTTCCTGTAAGATAAAGACGAAGGGCCAATCGTCGTTCAGTGTTCAGCCAAAGTCGCGGCGAATGGCTTTGGTGACGACGTGGGAGGTGATGCAAGAGAGACTCCCCAGGTGGCTGAGCGCCTGGATCTCCACCTTGACCCCGGCCTCGAGCATCTTCTCCAGCTCTCGCTCGCAACGCGGGTTGTCCTGCGTGCCACATCGACAGGTCAGACAGCACGAGAGCCTTCGCGACAGGACGTACGCACCTTGAGGCAGCCAGAGGCTTGGATGGACCGGATCCTCCGTCGGTCGCGCTCGGTCTGGTCCTGAAAGCAGCTTGAGGGCAGGTGCATTCGCTCGAGGTCATCCCAACACAGACCGAGCCACTTGATGTCCACAGCTGGCGTGCGCGCAAGAAGAAGAAGAAGAGTGTCGGCAGAGGTCTCTAAGAGCGAAGACGGAAGGTTCATGGTGGGGAGGACAGTACTGTGGAGGTGCGATTCGAGGCCTGACTTGACGCTGCCGTACCTGTAGGTAATGTAGACCCCCATACCGCCAGGATTCCAGTCAAACAGGCCCACGACAGGCAAGCGCAACTCTTCGTGAAGTCGCTTGAGCAGGCCGCGCGTGGCCATGTCCGGAAAGCCCTCTGTTTCGGCGCAATGAGCTTTTTGATTAGAAGTATCAACTTGCGCCAGATTGATGGGCACGGTGGCGGTACTGGCAGTGATGAGGATGCAGGGCAGGGTGTCGAACACTCTGTCCTCCGCGAGGCGCTGAAACACGGCGTCCTTCTCCACGACGATGATGAAGCGAGCATCCGACCTGTCCAAGAAAGGGTTCAACTCAGCCAAGATGAAAAGCGAGTGCCAACGACCAACGTACTTGATGTCGTGCATACCGGCAAGGGCGTTGCCGGAGATGAGGTGGCCTGATTGGCCCCCGCGTCTGCAATCGACGGTTCGGCCTTTCTCTTGCCATTGCACGCAGCCGATGATCGTTCCTCGCTCGCTTGCCGTCACTCCCAGGTTGCCTCGTAGACAGTTGAGGAGTGATGCCACCTCTTTCATATGGGTTAGCCAAGTCTTGATTGTGGGCAAGAATGCTGTATCTAAGCTCACCTTGAATGGTGTTGTTGCACTCGATTTGGTTGGTGAAGGCATCGATCAGCCTGTAATAAACTGACAGAGTCTGAGTGCTACGCGCTACGAAGCAAAAGGAGTAAGACCAGTACTTTCTCTCTGGGTCGCTTGCTTTCCTTGACTCAGCAACTCGTGCACCAGCTCCAGCACTCGCCACACTGCAGCGCGAAAGTGGTGAGCGAGAACGAGCCAGTCTTGTGGTGCCTGAGGAGGTGGGCGTACTGCGATAGTAGCTTTCGGGATGCGTCGCGAAGCACTTGCTCTTGCTCTCCATCCCCAATCGAATCTGAGAACTGGCCATCACCAGGTTGTCGCTGGTTCGCTTGAGCTGCGCCGTAAACGAAGGGGGAGGAAGTCAGCATCGACAACACAAAGACGTTGGACAAGCTTAGTACCATTGACGGCGTATACAGCTCGCCCTCTACCGCAAGCTTGTGTAGGAAGAACATGCTGTGAGCTTCAATCCTGGCGATCACCTGTCGTCGCCGCACAACGAAGGTGAGTAGGAGCTCGTGCACGAGAGATGGGGTTGCGTGCCTCGGCCGGGCGTAGGTCTTCCGCTCTGGCCAAGCGATCGCACGAGTAAAAGCCGCTGTTTTCCAAGTACGATGCTTCCTCTTCTTCCTCGGTAGGATCATCCTTGGAGTACGAAGATAGCTCGTCATCGCTCACCTCGTCTTCCTCTACATGATTCGGACTGCTCTCGTCGGCGTCGCTGGCGTTCTGCTCGAAGTCTTCTTCGAACAAGCACTCCTCGGGACTGAAGTCGCTCTCCACGAACGTGTCTCCAGAGAGGGCCATCTCTTCAATCTCCTCGCGCGTGGTCACCTGTTCAGGCAGGCTAATCGAGTAGTGGCCACTACGCAGAGAGTCCCAAAACTCGCCCGTCACGTTCCCTGGCCCTCCACCGCCGCCTGCCAATCCTCGCTGCACTTCGTTGCCTCGTCTTCTCTTCTTACTCTCCATCCTGGCCAAGGCACTCTCTCCTCTGCTTCCCTCTTCACCTTCTTCTACTCCTTGTCGCTCTACTTCTGTCGACAACGCCAGCGGTCGCTGCCCTGTAAAATCTGCACACCGCTTCACACAATTTTATTTTACCAGGCCAACAGAGGGCTTGTAAGAGCATACTAGACGTCTGGTCAAAACACGGGTGCATACTTGCGCGGGGGTGTCTGCGCAGTAGCTGCTGGCTGGCCGCTGGCCACGGCCACGACAACGACGAGTTCCAGCCGGGTCAGCGACGGCGACAGCGCGATCAGCGACTCCACCACGCGCGGCGGCTGCTGCGGCGGCTGCAGTGGTGCGACCACAGGGAAGCGACGGCCGCCGCCCGCAGCCGCCGGCGACAGGCACGCCGAGACCGGCGGCACGGTCCGGCGGGCGCTGCCGTGCTGGTGCGGCGGCAGTACGTGGCAGCCGACGTCGACCGCGAGCTCGCGCAGGACGTAGCACTTGGCGGCCACGGCGGCCACGGCCGGCTCGCCGTGGCACACGCCCGAGCCGCGCAGGTCCACCACCTCGAGGCTGTGGCATCCAAAGCAGGCAACGGCGTTGAGCACCGCGTCGTTACTGCCGGTGGTGGTGGTGGTGGCTTCCGCTGAGGCGGTGGCGCCCACGCGCGGACAGTCGCGCACGACGAGCTGGCGCAGGCGCCTGGCCGACTGCAGGAGCCGCCGCAGGCCGCAGGCGGTGACGTCGGCGCTGCGGTGGAACTCAACGGACTCGAGCCGTGTGAGTCGGCGGCCCATCAGCTCGAGCGTGTCGTCGTCCATCATCCCCGTCGCACCGGCACTCGACACGCCGTCCAGCACGAGGCGCCGCAGCTGCGGATTTGCGTCGACGAGTCTGTCCATCGCCGTCGTCGTCGTGAAGCTGAAGCTGCCGCTGCCGCAGCACTCATCGCCGTCGTCCGTGGCGTTGATGTCGATCGTGACGGTCGACGTCATCCAATTCTTTGCGGGAGCGGTTCGCTGGATGCTGGCCGCTGCGGGCGTATATTGCGGCGGTTGCGGCTGTTGCGGCGGTTGCTGCTTTTCCGGTTGCGCAGCGTCGTCGTTGTCGTCGTTGTCGCCATCGCCGTCGCGCCTCCAGCCGAACTCGAGCTCTTCGAGCAATCGGCACGACGCGCCCAGCGTGCCCACCAACGCCTCGGCCAGCTCGGCCTTGGCTTTGCGCCTGCTGGCCCTCTCCCTCGCCGCCGCCGCGTCGTCTGCGCCCTTAGCAACGGCCGGCCCACTGACGTCATCACCGTCGCCTTGGTGGTGGTGGTCGTTCATCCTGGCGGGCGAGCAGTCGCGCATGATCAGGCGCCGGAGCCGCGGGTGGCCCTGGGCAATGGCCGCCACCGATTCGCGGGACAGGTGCGCGAAGCCGGAGATGTCGAGCGTGCGTAGCAACGAGCCGCACGCGGCAGAGGAGGGTCGCAAGCCCTCTATGGCCTCTGCTTCCAGCTGGGTACATCCCTGTTTCACAATATTATCAATTACTGCGTGTCGTGTGTCGTGTGTGTCGTGCGTCGTGTGCGTCTTGTGCGTCTTGTGCGTCGTGTGTCATGTGAATACGAACGTTGAGTCGGAGAGATGTTAGTCGGGAGCAGTGGCTGGCCAGCAGACCAATACTCGTGCGAAGCTGAATGCAGTGCGAGAGGTCTAAACTCCTCAAATCGGGGCAAGATCGTATAACAGCCGCCACGCCCTATGTGTCGCGATGATAAACAAATAATCATTTGTAGAAATATATAAATTTGAGTACCCACGACCGCACACCGCACACACCGCGTAGCGGCAATACACGCGCACACACGGCGCCACAAATGGGAAGAAGGCGGTACCTCGTCGGTGAACAAAGGGCAATTTGACCCGCTGAGCGCACGGAGATGAGGACACATGCGCGCAATCGAAGTGAGCGAGCTATCGGTCAGCGCTCCACAACCGTCCACCTTCAAGCGCCGCAGTGAGCTTCCGCACCCTGTGGCGCCGCAAACACGCACCACACACACACACACACACAACACGCACACGTATACACACACACGACACACATACCGCACACACGACACACACGCGACCGGTTGGCGACCTCGAGGTGTGCCAGCGAGAGCGGGGCTTGGTCCGCACCTTCGAGGATGGCGTGCAGGGTGTCGTCTTGCAGACCGAGGCACTGAGCCAGGTCGAGGAGGACCAGGTTGGTGCACCGGCTGACCGCGCGCAGGGACGCTGCGGCGTTGCCGTTGCCAAGGCGGGAGAGCTGCAGTTCGGCGAGGGACGTAGCCGCAGGGCTCACCAGCAGCGGATCGTACAGGGCGGCCTTCGCCATCACGAAGGGAGTCCCGGGGCTTTCCTCCCAATACAGCGCCCTGCTCGCGACGGCGCAACATCCGCATGTAAGCAACACACGCACGACACACGCACGACGCACGACACACGACACACACACGACACACGACGCGAAACAGAGTTGGTGATACCGGAGGTTTTGGCACGAGATTCCGATGGCGTGCAGTGTCTCCTCGGTGATGTGACGTTGGCACAGCGACACGCGCTCAAGCGTTGGCGGCAGCGCGACTGCAAAATGCAGGATTAATATTATTATGTTCTTGTTCTTGTTATTGTTATTATTTTGCTGCGCACCGATCTTGGTGATGGAGGGACACTTGACGATGGTGAGTCGCTTCAGGCGTCGGCAGTAGCGCGGAAGGTCACCCATCACCAAATTGGAGAGCTGAGACGATACAACACAGCACACACGACACGACACGACACACATGACACACGCCATAGTCAATACAGGAGTACCGAAGGTGGGTGAGACCAGCAGAAAGCCGTACGTGCGGGTGGTCGGGGAAGACGAGCTCGATGATCGAATCGGCGTAGTAGCGGAGCAGCGCGCGCACGGCGGCCTCCGTGTAGAAGCTGCACAGGCGGCCAAAGTCGAGCGACAAGTCGTCGGGCTCGTCGGCGGTCGGCCGTCGCTGGTTCCGCAGCGCCACCCGCTGCTCCTCCTCGCTGGCTGACAGGTCTTTGCCGTGCTGCCTCTGCTGACGTGTCACCGTGTCATCGTCGTCACTGCCATCGTCATCGTCGGCCGAGTCGTGAAACGCCGCGCGTGTCGGCTTGAGCGCCGCCAGCGACGAGAGCACCTGGATGAGGCACGCGATGTCCTTGTTCCTGAGCAGCTTCAGGTCGCGCGGGTTGAAGAGCGTGTCCGGCTGCTGCTGCTGGTGGTGGTCCACGTCCGCCTCGGCACCAACATCGGCGCCGCCGCCACCGCCTCCGCTGCCGGTGTTGCCGCGCGGCGAGACCGGTGGACCGCGGGTTTGTGTCGACAGTGGCACGGCCGAGTCGCTGGCGGATGTCGACGACAAGAGGAGAGCGGTGGCGTCGGGCAGCGAGAGGGTCTTGGAGCGCTGCAGCTCCTCCTCCTCCTCGGCCTGCTCCTCGCGCAGGATGCTGAACAGGAGCGGCGTGGACGATAGGAGCGAGCCGAGTCGCGGCGCGCCACTGGGCTTCTTGAGCCGCCCGAGCGCTTTGGTGCTGCTGTGGAGTTGACTCACGTTGACGCTGACGTGGCTGCCGCTCTTAAGGCTGCTGCTGCGGGCCTGGTGGCTGTTGGCGCCGGTGGCGGCGGCATCGCGGAGCCGCCTCGCCGAATTGGAGCGCTGCTGCGGCTGTTTGAGCAGTGGCGCCGTCCGGCTGCGCTCCCATGCAAACCCGACGCTGGCCGGATCCGACGACGACGCTGATGAAGACGATGGCGATGACGAGGATGAAGATGAAGACGACGACGAGGTCGATGGCGAAGATGACGGTGATGATGATGATGTCAAGGGCGGAGGCGAAGGCGAACGTGAGAGCAGGGACGAGGCCAGAGCGTAGGACGATGCGAAGTCGGTGGTGGACTGGTAGGTGGGCAGGTTGGGCGCCCGCACGGCGGGAGCGGGCGAGGCCGGTGGCGTTGGCGCTCGCGAGTCGCCGCGGGAGAGCGGCGGTACCTTCGCCGACCTCGCCCGGAAAAGCTCCGGCTTGCCCAAGTCTGCGCAGGAGTTCCCAGTCAATCACTCGAAAACGACACGACACACGCCGCACACGACACACACCGCACTCATGCACGCACGCGTACCGGGTGGACTGGTTGGCAGGCCATCGTGGCCAACGTTGAACTGGTTGTGCTTGGCGGCCTCTTCCTTCTTGCGTACATCGAGGAGCCACGGCAGGAGCGGATCGAGCTGCAGCGCCTCCCGCAGCTTGCTGCCCGCCAGCTTGTACAGCTCCATCGCTGCGCAACCGTGGAAAAGGTCAGCACGTGTGTCGTGTCGTGTGCGGTTGCGTGTGCGGTTTACCTGTTTTGCTCTTAGCGTCGAGGCTGTGGTGTGCGGCATGGGCCAGGATGAATTTGCCCCAGCAGTAGTGATCGTAGGCCGAGCGGTGAAGCGGGTGCGTCATCAGGTCTATCGATATACTCAATTGTTTAGCCACAACCAACCAACCAACCAACCAACCAACCAACCAACCAACCAACCAACCAACCAACCAACCAACAACCAACCGCCCACGCACGTACTGGTCCAAATCTTGTTGATGATGTTGTACAGCTGTTGCTTCTCCGTCCAACTGCAGTAGTTCAGCGGCGCCTGGTACCTGAAGACAACAGAACATTTTTGAGCCAATCGCGCACACGACACAACACGACACGCACAGACGGGAGAACCTCTTTTCGAGCATGGTGCGCAGTTTGTCGAGCATGGTGAGGTTCTTGGTGGCGGCGTAGATGTCGACGGCCCGGTCGAACAGGCGCAGGCAGTACTCCCGGCACTCGCCGCGGCAGTCCGCCGGCTCACCGGGCGGCGCGACGAAGCTGTCGAGCAGTGACACCGAGCTGCGGTCCACCCGGTCCTTGAGCGACACCAGCTTCACGCGCTTGCGGAGCCCATCGCGCTCCTCCTCGTCGGCGTCGTCGTCGTCGTTGTTGTCCGAGTCCTGTTGCTGCGTCTCGTCCGTACACTTTTCCTTTTCCTTTTGCAGCGCCTGAAGTGTGTGCGCAAACGCGTTGATGAGCGTTTCGTGTGTCGTGTCGTGTCGTGTCGTGTCGTGTCGTGTCGTGTCGTGTCGTGTCGTGTCGCGTACTCGTTGCGCTATGACGTCGGCGTAGTTGTTTTGTATGCCGTGGTTGTCCGGTGCGGAGACGACGACCTGTTCAAAGACGGTGCACGATCTGCCACGGGGAAACACGCACAGGGTTAAGGTGGCGGTAACGGCAGTGTGGTTGAATAAAGGGGGAGGACGTCAGCGAACAAACCGTTTGAAGAGGCGTTCGGCCTCGTCGCCGACCTCCTGCTGCGATTTGAGTGCCAACGCGTTGGCCTCCGCCAGCGCCACGGTGCCCATCTTCTTGACCTTGACCGACATCTTGGCAATGTCCGACGCCACCACCTTGAACGACGACACGAACAGATTCGCTCCTAGCGCCGAAATTGTTCGGCATCAGAGTGCGTGTGCGGTGATGCGTGTGCGTGTCGTGCGTGTGCCGCGCGCGCTGGTGGGTGCTTACCGGTGTAGGGCTGCGCTCCGCTGAGCAGCTTGGAATTGATCTCGGTGCCCATCAGCGTTTGCAGCGATTCCTTCGATTGCTGCGTGAGGTGCACCCCACACAGATCCTGCCCACCAAACACCACCATTAACAATCAACCCAATCGTAACGCAACAACCAACCAACCAACCAACCAACCAACCAACCAACCAACCAACCAACCAACCAACCAACCAACCATTACATAACATGGGCGGATGGTGAGGTACCTGTATGCGGAGGAGGATGTGACACATGGTGACCTTGCGGCGGAGGTCGTAGTACTCGCCCCGCTCTTCGGTGGTGAGCGACTGTTCGCCGAACTTGCGCATGACCTCGGACTTGATCGCCACCTTCCAGAAATTGTCCGCCTTCCGTTTGGGCCGCCCCAATACCTGGCCATGCCCCCCCC